ATGAATTTCTACTCTGAAGAAGTTTTTTCATGCCAAGTTTATACCAACGACTTGTGGAAGTTGAAATACTTTTTGGGTGTAGAAGTAGCAAGAAGCAAGAAAGGGTTTTTTTTGTCCCAAAGAAAATATGTACTTCACTTAATTGCAGAAACTGGAAAGTTGGGAGTTAAACCATGTGGCACACCAATATATTCTAATGTACATCTTACTAAGGATGGTGCTGATCCATCTGATGATCCAGAAAAATACAGAATGTTAGTTGGGAAACTGAACTATCTCACTGTGACCCATCCAAATATTGCCTATGCAGTCAGTATTGTCCATCAATTCATGTTTGTACCAACAGTCAAACACTAGGCAGCCTTGAAACAAATCTTGTGCTATTTGAAAGGAGCTCATGGCCTTGGCATATTGTATAGTGATTACGAGGATACTCATGCTGAGTGTTTTGTAGATGTTGATTGGGCTGGATAAAGAATGATAGAAGATCTACTACTAGCTATTTGTATATTTGTTTGTGGAAATTTGGTATCCTTGAAGAGTAAGAAACAAAATGTTGTATCTCGATCTAGTACAAAATCCGAGTATAGAGCTATGGCTCAATCCACCTATGAAATATTATAGATACATCACCTTTTAATTGAGATTGGGTTGAGCCTTCTTCTCCAGCAAAACTTTTGTGTGATAATTAAGCTGCTCTGCACCTTGCCTCAAGTCCAAAGTATCATGAACAGACAAAACAATTTGAAGTTGACTGTAACTTTATCCATGAGAAGATTTAAGAGAACTTATTTTTCACTTTATATGTGAAGACTGGGCAGAAATTGGGTGATATATTTACGAAGGCTTTAAGTAAAAATCATGTGGAATATCTTTTTAACAAGTTGAACTTGATTAATATCTATGCTCCAACTTCAGGGGGAGTGTTGCGAATGCACATAGACAAGTCTACATATATTATACATTGCACTATCATAGGTCGAGAATATGTAGAGATATTTAGGGATTTTTATTTTATTTTATTTCCTTACATATTTTTACTTGTACACCTACAAATAACTGTTATTCTTGCAATAATACAACAAGGAAATTGGTCCATTGTCTCTGTGTTTTACAGTTAAATAACAAGGTCTTTTTCATTTGCGAGAAAGTAGCAGCGCACACTTCTTTGAATTCAATAAACTCCATTTCAATATTTTGTTTACCTCCGTTGGTCCTCTTTTTCATTGCAAAATAAAATAATTAAAGAAGAAAATACGAAGATGTATAGGTTGAATAAGCCTGAATGCCTGAGCAACTTTGAAGGAACGCTAGGGTAATTCATAGTAGGTGCAAGAGTCTATTTGTCATGTGTATTGTCACACTATTTAATATTTTCATATTATGAGTCTACTAGTTCTGGAAACATACTTTGCACATTTATCCCAAAAACTTAATCTAAACATATTGTAAATGATAAATTTGGTACACTACATGATATGACATAATTACCAGAAAATAAAAGATTGTAATATAGAACAAAGTGGAATTTGACTAATTCATGATTCAACTAAAAACTTGAAGCACAACTTCGTGTCTGATTTCACTGCTTCATTAAAATGCACTATAATAAACTCTATCGTTTTCGGTTTCGCATAACAAACAAGGAAATGTGATCTCATAAAATTTACATAGAATATGAAAAAACTCCATATTAGTTAATGGTTTGAGAAGAAAATGAACAAAGAAAATAAAAGTAGAACCGACAGATGAGGATAAATTGTTACATACCTATTGAATTTTTGTCATCCAAGGATGAAAGCATGACATACTCTTGATAATAATTTATAGGGAAAAGGTAGAAGTACCTCCCTAGACTATGACCCAAATCCTAGAGACACACCTTAACTAAACTAAGGTCCTATTATCCCCCTGAACTCATTTTTTTTGTAATTTTGTACACCTTTTTGGCTTCCGTGGCATCCAAATATATCCCACACGCCTCAACTGCGTGGAGTCACGGGGTGTACCACATAAGTCAAAAGGTGTACAATATTATATATAAAATGAGTTCAGGGGGTAAATAGGACCTTAGTTTAGTTAAAGTGTGTCTCTGGAATTTTGTCATAGTCTAGGGGGGTACTTGTGCCTTCTCCCTAATTTATATAAGATATTTAATGAGCAAAATTAAATATAAATTCATCATTAGTGTTAATTGTCACTTCCTCTGTCCAACAAAAGTTGTCTACTATTAACTTGACACACCCCTTAAGAAACAATAAATAATAAGGGTAATATTACTATTGTACCCTTTGAATTTATTAAAATTAATGCTTTGAAAAATGTGTTATATGATAAATAGTATTTAATAGAAAGGGTAAAATAGACTCAAAGGGTAAATTATATCTTGATTTTCTAAATTGGACAAGTATTGTTGGACAACTATTTTTAGTATAGTGGACAACTATTGTTGGACGGAGGGAGTACTAAATGGTGGAAAACAAAATGTTAGACAATATTTAGCAATTATTAAATATTTAATAGATTTTCATTAAGTTAAATAACTACTAGTTTTTCTTTAATTAATTGTCTATATTCATCAGAAATGTGAGAAGTTTTGCATGTTATTAACATATATCATTCTTATTATTAGGGTAAACTAAATACATGATTGGAAGAAATATGTTAAAGGAAAAAATCAACTTGCAATACAATGATTTTATTCAAAAGTTAACCAATAAATTAACCATAGTCATAGACATTTTTTTTTACATATTAATCATATATTATTAACTGGTCACTATGTAATTTAATGCTTTAAAAAATGCGTTAGATGATAAATAATATTTAATAGAAAGAGTAAAATAGACGCAAAAGGTAAATTATCTCTTGATTTTCTAAATTGGACAAGTATTGTTGGAAAACTATATTTAGTATAGTGGAAACTATCGTTGGACGGAGGGAGTACTAAATGGTTGGATAACAAAATATTTGACAACATTTAGCAATTATTTAATATTTAATAGAATTTCATTAAGTTACATAACTATTAATTTTTCTTTAATTAATTGTATATATTCATCAGAAATGTGAGAAGTTTTGCATGTTATTAACAAATATCATTCTTATTATTAGGGTAAACTAAATTCATGATTGGAAGAACTATGTTAAAAGAAAAATTCAACTTACAGTAAAATGATTTTATTCAAAAGTTAATCAATAAATTAACCAGAGTCATTTTCAATTTTTTTTACATATTAATCATATGTTATTAACTGGTCACTGTGTAACTTACAAATTGAATATGGTCAATTTTTCACTTTCTAGCTTGCAATTAAGTTAGGAGGTGAAAAGAATGTGGAATATTTTTAATAATTAATATTTGACTTGTTCGATATTTCATAATATTTTGAATTAGAATAGGGGTAAAATGATATTTCAGCTTGTAACTTTGTGGCTTTCCACTTTTAGTATAATATGATTTTATTACGTGTATTGTCACATTATTTAATGTTTTCATGTTACAAGTCTAATTGTCATGTGTTTTTCATATTATTTAATGTTTTTGTATTACGAGTCTATTCATCAGTATGTTTACGTTTATTTAATATTTCATTTAATATGAATCTATTACTAGATTTACATAGATATTGCTATATCGGGAGGAGATCCTTGAAACAACATAAAGTTATCTATGTGTGACCTATATGTCACCAGTTTGACCAATGAAAGAAGTCACTAATGTTTGCACTAGGGTAGGCTATTTACATCACACCCCTTGGCGTCAGGCCTTTCCCAGGACCCCATTAACATAGAATGACATTCCTTAAAAGACTTCCTTATGGGGGACAAAAAATCAGGACCACTATATTTGGGGGACAACTTGTGAAATTTTCTGAAGTTCGATGACATATTTGAGCCTTTTCTCTTTAATAAATGACCTTTTAAAAAAAATCTCTTACATGTTTTACGTACCTTCAGGAAACAGTCTAATGATCCCTTTTGAGCAACCTGATAATCGTATGAGAAATGTCTGACTACAATCTAAAATTATGTAAGTTATTACAAACATCAGACAATAGCATATTATGGTGTATCTAAAGTTGAGAAATATATGAACAAACATTATAGCCAATCTAATATTATCCCGGAGGATAATTTCTTAAGGGTTATATTTTGGGCAAAGTTCACATAAGAACAAAATGTTAATGGTAATTTATTTGCTAAATAACTCAAATAAATAAGAAAAAATGACATAGATAGCCGTTTATCAAAATAATGACCCACAAATATATACTCTCACCAATTTCATGCCATCAAGCACTGAAGAACAAGCCTGCAAAGTTAACAACACATCAAGAGTAAAGACTCAAAAGCTGATAGAGATAGGCCCTCCCCTGATATTCGATCCGAATACCGTGAGGCAAATCAGGAAAGAGATTACCTAGGAAGAACATACTTTTGGAAGTTGCGGATTCCATTTAGGAAGTTGAGTACTGATGACTATTCTCTATCCATCGTGAAATTGATCAAAGTCAATTTTCAAATAATTTTCTAAGGTTCTTGATTAACAAACTAGTCCTATGATTGGAATATGTGGATTCTCAATTTTTTGTCTGCTTTTCTGTGCTTGTATTTGCAAGAAAAGATTCGCTGATACTTGTGCAAATGATTCAAGAATTAGTACCAAAAGTTGGATTTGCCCATTTAGTTACTTTTCCGTGTAAAAAATTCTACACCATCGATGGATATTAGCTAAACTCATAGTTCTGTCCACACTTCACATAAGATAACAATCTTGGAATTATTATCCTGAATTTAAATGCCAAAATGACACACTTTTCCTATTTTATAACTCTTCTTTGAAATAAGTTTAAAATTTAAAAATAGTAATAATTTTCTCTGGTTCCCGCTCAAAGTTGGAATAGAAAACCTAATTTGTGTCTTTATAAGGTGTTACTGCCTCTCTCTTTTTCAGTGTTTTATTTTCTTAAAAATTGTATCCTTCCTTGGTTTCTGCGATGGCAGATCAAAGGCCTTTGCTTACCTTGAAGAAGACATTCTTTTACAATTTTTTTCCATCAAAAGCTGAAGAAGAAGCTTGCAAAGTTAACAATACTCCACACGTAGTGACTCGAGAACTAGTGGAGATAAGGGACTTGTACCCTGCCCCAAAAATCATTTTGCAAAACCCATGGCAGATCAAGAAAAAGATTACCCATGACGAGATCGTTGTTGGAATGCTGATGATTCCATTTTTTGAGATGTTTGAGTACATCCTTCGATACTGGACTTTGGAAATGGCCAAAACTTTGGAGAACAGTTGTATTGTGTGTGTTGATATGTGGGATGTAACTGAGAGGAATGTCTCTAAGAAGTATGAAGGTGGAAGTGTTTGGCTAAGGAAGGTGTACAATGATGATTTTGCTCTTTGGTGCATCGAATTGTTCAAGGATCGTGGATTGGGCGATGGTGATGAAATTGGGCTTTATTGGGATCCTAGATTTTCCTGTTTAGTGTTCAAATTGCTTTCTTAGGTTGGCTCTTAGTGGAAAGGTCCAATAATTTAGGACCAAAAACAACATAATATCATAGTCTTTGGTTTATATTACTCTTTCATATAATTGTAATAGCTGAAGACATAATCATGAAATTGGAATTCTTGACGTTCCCAATTTAGTCTGCGCAATTCCCTTTTTGCACTTGTGTTTTCATTCGCTATTATTATAGTGTTCTTTGAAGTTTTTATAATTGTTTAGATAGTTGTGATGCTCTTTGTCAACCTAGAAATAAGCTTAATGTGAGAAATAAGTTGATATACTCACAAAAAATGCCTAGAAATAAGGACCTAACATGACCTAATTAAGGACCCCATTTTGGCATACCCTCATTGATACAAGATTACCCCCTTAATCATTAGAGCTGAATCTTTAAGTTGATGGATTTTGTACAATAGAGTGCAGTAAATAAGATATCTATAGAAAGTAAGAGTACAAAGTATTAGGACATGTTTGTATAAAGGAATGTGATTTCTAAATTGAACAGAGATGTTTTAAGTTAAGACAACTAATTTTGTAACAATTTAGGGTCTAAAATCTTTAAGTTAAGACAACTAATTTTGTAACAATTTAGGGTCTAAAATCTTTCAATCATCTGACTGAAAGCTTTTGCATTAGCACAAGAACAATGCTACATTCATTCAAGTCTTTGTTTCCATTTTTCTGCATAATCAAAGTTGCTCGCTGCTCAAGTCTTTCTGAAAATCCTAGCTAATAACTAGAACGGAAGAAGGATAGAAGAAGAAAGGCAACTTCAACTCTTGAAATGTCAGTAGAGAAAACTATATATCCATAACAGTAGAGTCCATACCTTAAATAAGGGAAAAAAAAGCTTAATTCCTGTGACAACTCAAGCTGTTTGTTCTTGAAAGGTCTTAAAGAAAGCACATTCTATTTTAGTTCATACGTTTTCTGCATTTTTACTTGAATTGATCAAGGATCGCGGATTGGGTGTTGGTGATGGAATTGGGTTATATCGACATCCTAGTTTATTATCAAGGTTTATTTTCAAATTATTTTCTAAGATTCATTATTCAAGAATTAGGCCTTTACTTTTTCTTTCCTACTTGTGATTGGAATATCTAGATTCTCTAATTTTTGTTAGCTTTTCTGTACTTGTATTAGCAAGAAAAGTTTGGCTGACAGTTGTGTAAACGATTTAAGAATTAGGACCAATAAGTTGTTGTATATGGAGTATGAATATATGATGATTTTGCAGATACCCAAATTTTGTCTTCTTAATCTGCTCTTTTGTCTTGGGATTAAGAGTTAAGAAAAGATTTCTGGCACAATCTGTTATTCGATAAGAGATGAGTGGTTATACAATTCAATTCTTCTGTTCTCTCCCTATGAAATATCTTGTGCCTCAATGCATGGTTATACAATCTTGAATGTCATGCCTGAATAGCTAAGAATTGAATTAGAATAAACAAAGAACAGATAATTAGACATGGTTGTACAGTTTTGAGTGTCTTGTGATAACTCGAGCTATTTGATCACAGTTTTTCCAAAACATTTTGTACTATCGTTCTTGAAAGGTCTTATAACAAGCACATTCTTTCTCAGTTTGTATAATTCTTTTGATAGAACCTTTTTTGCATTTTTACTTGAATTTGTTGTTATCATCGATCGTCCTCACATCTCAATTTTGCTAATTTGAACTTGTTTTGTACTTGAATCCTAGTAACCAAGTGTCTGCATTACCATTAGTCATTGCAGTTCACCTTGTTGGAAAGAAAAAGGGAAGTAAATGAGAAAGTGAACAGAAATATAGGGCAAAAAATATAAGTAAAAGCTACTGCAATGTTTTTTTTCCTGATTAATAATGGAAGCAACAAGTCTACCTATAAATAGGCTTACTGTAAAACAAAAAATGCTAAAATCTAGGTCCACTAAACCACTTACTACTAATTAGATATTACTTTGCCACAGTATCTAAATATGCTTAGATAAAGGAAACTAACTAACAAACTCCTGAAGACTTAGTCAAGTATTTGAATCACTTTTCAACACTCCCCCTTGATTCAAAACAACAAACTCCAAGTTGACCTCTGTAGAACTTGTGCTTTGCTTGCGGAAGTGACTTCGTGAAGATGTTTGCTTCTTGCTCATTTGTATCACAAGACTTCAAAGTAATTTCTCCAGTAGTTACAAGACCTCTAATATAGTGATCGTGAATATCAATGTGCTTTGTTATGCTGTGAAATGCTGGCTTCTTTGTCATCGCAATAGTAGATATATTGTCACAAAAAATCTCAGTTGCACCAGTTGGTTTCTGATTAAAATCTACAACAAGTCTCCTTAACCAAACTGCTTGACAAGCTGCAGAGGTTGCTGCAATATATTCGGCCTCTGAAGTTAATAAAACAACCACTTCCTGCTTCTTTGAACTCCATGAAACTGCACTAGACCCAAGATTAAACAAGAAACCAGATGTGCTCTTTCGATCATCAATGCTGCCTGCGTAGTCACTATCAATAAAGCCAGTTGATGTGAAATTTTTTACCTTAGAATACCAAATTCCACAGCGATATATCTTAGTACTCTCTTTGCAGCTCCAAGGTGAAGCTTTCTTGGATTGTGCATAAATCTCGATATAACGCCAACAGAGAAAGCAATATCTGGTCTTGTATGAGACAAGTAATTCAAACCACCAACCAGACTTCTAAAATAAGTTGCATTTGCCATTTCAGAACCATCATCACAACACAACTTCTCATTAATATTCATTGGCGTAACATCAACTTTACAATTTACCATGGTAAACTTTTTCAAAAGATCTGTCGCATATTTTCTTTGTGAAAGAAATATGTCTTCGATTCCCTGTTTCACCTCAAAACCAAGAAAATAATGCAGCATGCCCAAATCAGACATCTCAAAATTCTTCATCATGCAGTCCTTAAAATCAGTGCTCATAGACTCATTCGAACCCATATATATCATATCATTAACGGAAAGACATACCACCAAAAAATCATTTTTACCTTCTCATTTTACATAAAGAGTAGGCTCATTGTTACTCCTTTCAAAACCATTCTCATGGAAATATGAATCAATCTTGAAGTACCATGCCCGTGGCGCTTTCTTTAAGCCATAGAGTGCCTTTTTTAACATGTAGACCTTATCTTCTTTGCCATTTACTACAAAACCTTCAAGTTGTGAGACATAAACTTCCTCTTCCAAATCACCATTTAAAAAGGCAGATTTAGCATTGAATTGGTAAACTGTCCAACTTAAATTAGCAGCCAAGGCTAAAACATTTCTCATAGTTTCAAAGAGAGCAACATGAGAATAAGTTTCTTCGAAGTCAATACCTTGTTGATGGGAATAACCTTTTGTGATGAGCCTTATATTTTTGGATGCTGCCATCAGCATGATACTTGGTTCTAAACACCCATTTGAGCCCAATAGCTTTCTTTCCTTTAGGAAAATTTACCATGTCCCATGTCTGATTCTTTTGAATAGCCATCAGCTCTTCTTCCATAGCCTTGCACCATTTATCCTCTTTTTCAGCATCTTCAAAAAGGATAGGATCTGAAACAAGTAACACAAAGGTACAAGATGTATTGTTATCATATCTAGGATTTTGTTTCCTATCTCTTGTTGATCTTCTTAATGGAGTTGGCTTAGCGGAAGGTTTTTCCAATATTGGAGAAGTTTCTAGTGCAATTGATGAGGTAGTCGATGGACCAGCCAAAAAAGGATCTGCTACATACTCTTGATCAATAATATTGTCAGAAGGCATCAATTCAATGTTTGGACTTTCATTTGCAGAATTAAAATACCAACTTGCATCTTCATTAAACACAACATTTCTATTGACCATAATCTTACCATTCACTAGATTATATAACTTATAAGCCTTGGATTGTGTGCTATATCCAACAAAAATACATTTTTCACATATTTCATCAAGCTTGTGTAGAGCTTGTGAATTTATCAAGGCATACGTTATACAACCAAATACACGTAAGTGGCTTACCTTGGGCTTGTTACCTCTCCAAGATTCATATGGTGTTTGATTAAACACTGCCTTAGTGGGAGAAATATTCATCAAATAGATAGCAATGGCAACAACTTCAACCCAAAAACACTTCAGTACACCTCTACCTTCCATCATGCTTCTGCCCATCTCGACAATTGTACGGTTCTTTCGTTCTGCTACACCATTTTGCTCTGGTGTATAATGTGATGTGAGTTCTCTGTGTATTCCATTTTCCTCTCCAAAGGAACTGAATTCTTTTGACATAAACTCACCACCTCTATCTGTTCATAGTGTTTTGAGTCTACATCCACTTTGCCTCTCAACAAAAGATTTAAATTTCTTGAAATTGTCACAAGTTTTAGATTTAAATTTCAAGAAATCTATCCAACTCATACGACTATAATCATTAGGTAAAAGCATAAAGTATCGACTTTCCCCTAAGGACTCAACACTCATAGGACCACACAATTCAGCATATACTAACTCAAGACAAACATAAGCTCTCCAAGACTTGCTTACATGAAAACATTTTTTACTTTGTTTTCCATAAACACAACTTTCACAAAAATCAAGATTCTCAACTTTTGGCAACCCAAAAACCATTTCCTTTTGACTCAATAACTTCAATGCATTAACATTTAAATGCCCATAACGTAAATGCCATAGTCTAGTTTCATTATCTCCACTAACTACCATAGTACACCTCTCAACCATTGAAACTTCTAAAGGAAACATTTTATTGTTAGCCATTGGAACTTTAGCAATGATTTTCTCAGATTTCTTATTTTCAATAGTGCAAAAACCACCATAAAAGAAAATTGAGTATCCGCTAATCATTAGTTGTCCAATGATAAGCAAATTATGAGATAGACTAGGAACAAACATCACATCGTCTAAAATCTTATCATTACCTTGGCTGGTCATAATGCTAACTGTACCTCTACCTTCAACCTGAATCTTCTTGTTGCCTCCTAGCCTTACATCTGATTTTTTT